AGGGTTTAGGGTTGTTTAGGGTTTTCGGTTTTGGGGTTTCTGGGTTTAGGGGTTTAGGGTTGAGGTAATTATTAAGGCCCATATAATAATCACAGGAGCATGGGACCGAGTAAGTGGACTGGTTTATGTGGCATCAATGCACAATGATAAAACATAACAATGTAGTCATGATCTTCACGACAATAATAGCAGCAATGGTATTAACAACCACAAAGTTTCAATAACATTAACAATAGTACAAAAGCGCCAACATTGCAGAAGCTATCGTAGCACCATCTTAATAAAGCCAGTAGTAATAACCATAGTAGTAACTATGATGATGACAGAAAGAGCAATAGAGTCTCAGTCATGGCCATAATCATAACAGTAATAACAAAAACACTCATAATCGAAGCCATAATCCTGACAGTGACCATAATAATACGAGTACTGATGCTAACAACCATCCTGTTCATCATGCGAATAACAGCAGCAATACTTACGAAGGGGTCAATAGTATGTATACTGTGCTTTTCCCACCAAAAACCCACTCATCCCTCTAGGTTCCATTCCCCGAACTTTCCTGCTCAGCCCCACCTATAACTGACTTTATAAGTTTATAAATACCCGTGAGCCTCTAAGCAAATCCCTTTAACTCTAACCCAAATCCAAACACAAACCCTTATCTGGAACCCTCACGAACATCATGGCTCTATCTGCAAAGCTTGTAACCCCAATATGAAACACCCTCACATCGGAAACCATAAACCCTAAACCCCGAAGGCACCAGAGTGGTGGGAAGCGCGGAGACTTGCTCGCTTTCGGCCCGGAGCGCGGCATGGCGGGCCGAGGTGCTCTGATTAGAGTTTACAGGGTTCAGGGTTTCGACTCACACACTCGCACAAAGCTGGCATGGCAAGAGAAGGTCCCGAGCTTGCTACATGTACATGTCCGCTTGTCGACGAGTTCAATAGCCCGAAGTGCCCAGTAACAGCAAGACACAGATAAACACAATATCACACACGTTCAGGGTTTAGGGTTTGGGGTTTAGGGCTTAGGGTTTGGGGTTTAGGGCTTAGGGCTTGGGGTTTAGGGTTTGGGGTTTGGAGTTTAGGGTTTAGGCGTGGGGATGAAGAGCTTCAAAGTGTAGGAGTTTAGGAACTGGAGGGTCTGGTCTTGGGGTTTAGGGTTTAGGGTTTAGGGTTCAGGGTTCAGGGGCTGGGGGTCTTGGGGTGGGGCTTAGGTGCTTGAGGACTGAGCGTTCGTTGCTTAGAACTGGCGCTTCTAGACTGACCGTGTGGCAAGGGATCTTCTAACTTGTCTAGAAATGTTAGGGTTTAGGGGTTTAGGGTTTAGGTTGTCGGTCTAGTCGTCGTCGCACAGCCGCATCCTTCCCGGCCCGTACATGAAGTACGTGTACAGTATTTAAGTACAAGTAGAGTTTTTTAGTCGTCGTTGTTGCAGCCAGGTGGGCTTCAACTGATGTCTCTAACTTTCCAGGTGCCTCTGTGGCGGTTACGGATTCGCCGCAGCGTGCGCAGAGCCACTAACTTAAAGCCAAATCCCTGGTGGCCAAGTTCCGGCTTCGGGAGTACACCCACGGCAGTTCCCCACATTTGTTCCCTCAGAAGCTGCGGCATGCGAGGGAGAAGGTGGGATTTAGGGCACAGGGCTGCAGATTTGTAGGTTTCCGCGCTAGACTCTTCGAGCTTCAAGACCCTAAACCCTAAAATACACAGGCTTTAGGGGCCACTGTCGGGCGGGAGGCTCTGGTTGCTCAGGGTTTAGGGTTTAGGGGTTTTTTTGCCTCCTACAGGCTTTAGGGTTTAGGGTCAGAAAGCAAGGTTATAAGTCGTCGGTACCAGAGTAACTATATTCACAATAGTAGACAACTTTAACTTGAAGAAAAGATGTTGTAAACAACGTATACGTTCCTAAACATTACACGCAGACGCACATTTCAAGTCTAATCCAGCCCTACAGTTCGGAACTTTCATCCCCCACCCGAAGCTCCAAATTCCTTATAGAACTCATGTACAAACCTGTCAACTCCGGTAAACATACCAAGAAGTTAGGCAAAACCCGAATTATATAAGCTGACAGCCCTAAAACCTAAACCCTAAACCCTAAACCCTCTGAGTCCAGGCACCATTCCTGCCAAATCATCGGCCCAGAGAGTGGCCGGTTCTTAGGCCTCAGGTTTAGGGGTTACCCTAAGAACCCCAAACCCAGTTTTTTGTAGGTTCTTATTATAGACCCTAATATGGGATCTATAGGGACCCTACAAAAAAGTAGGCTTTGGGTTCTTAAGGAAGGGGTTTATAGGGTATATGTATACACACAAAGAGGGTATGCAAGTAGCTGTTTTTCACTTGGTTTCGCTCTGGTATCAAACGTGCACACACTTTGTTTTCGTGTACGCATGCCAAGACGGGCAGACGGCTAGACACATTGACCTACATGGTTATATGTGGTAGTATTAGAAGCAAACTACCAAACAAGTGCACACTGGCATCGCCTGCCTGTGTGTACGCCGGTGTGCAGTCGCGCATGGTGCATTTGTTTTGAGCATGAGCTTTTTTTCACAAGGGACTCTGCTGCTGCCCTTACTGCCCAGCTTGACCCACAAGACAGTACTCATGACTGAGATGCGAGACCGGCCACTTCGCGGCTCCAAGCTTCGGGCACAACTTGGTACGGAACCCAAAATTTATTGCTTCCTATGCGTGTTCTGTCTGAGACCTTCTGCCCTGTTCCTGCTGTCAACCAATCATTGCTGCAGAAGGTGCGTTATGCTCTGGTGTTGGGTGGGTTGGCCTGATAGGGTGAAAAGTCATGCAGGGGTTGGATACACGGCTCCATGAGGGACATGACGAATCTGTGCGACCTACCCCAAGACTTGGATTCATAGAGTCAGGAATACACAATATTCGCGGTGCTTCTAGCCTGTGATATTGTTGTGGGAAGAAATCATGAATAAGTAGCCAATCACGAAAGAGGTGCCGTACCCGTTGACGTCTGACGTACAGGCTGAACCTGATTATCCCCAAACCCTAAACCCTAAACCCTGATCTTTAATACACTACTCAGGAATAGAAGTCGAGGCCTTGGAAGTGTTTGAGGTTGCCTGTATGTAGACATGTTTAAAAACGGGCTTTGCAAACAAATCACGGCCCCATAGCAACCTGCCGGCTCTCTCGGTCTCTCTCCCTCTTTCTCTATCTCTATGTACTTTGGTGTCGGTATGCAGACATATAACGGGTTTTACATGTATACATGCTACATGCACATATACATATGTGTGTAATACACACACACATGAGCACTCGTCCGCTGCTTCGTTCGCACGTGCTTCGTTTGCCACGACATACAGCTTTCTTCTGCATCGGGTGTCTCTGGCCCAATCATCGCCAAAAATGGTCTGGATCCGTACATATTTTAATCAATAAATTCAAGTGATGAATACATCAACACACAATTACTAAACGATTAAACACATATAACATTCAACATACCTAAATGTAAACGTAAATGCGAATATGAGTATATTTGGCATGTATGTATGTATGTATGTATGTATATATATATATATGCCAGTGTTCTGGATAGGAACCGGTAGAACATACGTTACCCTAAGCCCCCAGGTACCTACAATATAGGGTACTAGAGCCCCTAGAGCCGTATAGTAGGTACCTGGGGGGTTAGGGTTGCCCTTTACCCGAACAAAGCAACGACAGTGTAAGCTCACACCATGAAGCCCTGGAAACAAGCGGGTTTTCATATTCAGTCCAGCTGGCACGTGGAAGATGAAGGAAGAAAGCTGCAGCCCTTCCACTGTGAGGACGCTGGCCTGGAGTGCTTGGGTCTGGGATTATGCCCTGGCACCCGGACTCCCTAGACTAGGTTTGGGTTTAGGTTTTGCAGATTGGGTTTAGCCGAGGGTTTAGGTTTAAACGGGAGACTTTGGCGTTTATGCATGAGGGCCTTTCGGTTTGGATTGTGCTTCTGGATTCAGGCTTCAGTTGCAGGACGGTTTACCGGAAACGAGCAATGCACGACATGTGAGGGCATAGTAAGTTCGTTCTATATGGCGTGAAAGAATCATCAACAGCCTCCTAACTGGGGCTCAACCCTACTTCTGAGGCGCTGTATAGCCGAGGCGAGACTTCTTCTCTGCTGCAATCCTGCCAGCATGGGACTCAATCCAACAGGGTGAGAACGGCTTCGGGATAGATTCAGGGTTTAGGATCCCTAAACCCTAAACCCTAAACCCTAAACCCTAAACCCTAAACCCTAAACCCTGAAGCCCTACCTCCCCAAGCAACCTTCGACCCAAGCCCGAGCTACCGCCAGCTTCTGCTCAACTGCAGGCTGCCTGAATGTCTTTTGCCTCCTACTTGGCAAGGACAAGCCTCAATTTCTTAGGGTTTAGGGCTTTGGGCTTAGGGCTTGGGTTCAAAATACTGATTGAGAAGCGCGTGCACAGTTGGTTTCCCGATTCACAGCATACGGAAAGCAAGGGAGTCAGGGAGCCTTGTCTGGGAGGTTAAGCATGCAGGGACCTCGGCTTATAGCCCTGCTGGTCAAGGCAGCACCTAACGCCAAACTCAGCTGTCGATGAAGCATTCCGAGAGCAAGCTAGCCTCGTCCACAACAACCAAGGCCAGCAACAAGTTTCCACTTTCTTGTTGAATACAGAAACCGAATAATGGAACATAGCAAAATTAAAAATTGTTTTCTGTAGGCAAAGTAAGTAACATCCGCAAATCCTTGCATAGGAGGCCCGTGCTGTGCGGTGTGGGGCATCGCAATCCAGACCGTGAGCTGCTCGATATGCCACCTGAGGGCTTTAAGCTGAGTGGACTTGTGGAAGCCTCATAAAACTTAGAGTTTAGTCGGGTTTTGAGGTGCCCCAGAATGGAGCAATGAGTTGGCTGCCTGGAAGTTCTTGCTGCTGGCAGCAAGATCACAGTCGCAATGCATGCCCATGGTCGTTGCATTGCCTGCCGCGTGTACCTCCAGAAAAGAGCTCCCTGACGAGGCATCCACCACGAAGTAGCAGAAGTTGTCAGCATTGCGTAGAGCTTTCACTGGGCTCACTTGTGCCATGCTGGCGCACTCCTTGCGCCCATATGCCTTGTCATCACAATCATCGGCAGGATCGATCTGAACCAACGCCATATTTTTCCTAACCCTGCCACCGACCTCAACATCGACGATGCGATGGACAACCGCGGGCTCAAGGTATTCCTCGTCATCCTCCTCTTCATCCTCCTCTTCATCCTCGTCTGCAAACGCGTCATTGCCGTAGTAGGCGCGGGAAACGTGCTCATCCTCATCGTCTTCGTCGTCGTCCTCAAGAATTTCAAGCGTCACAGGGTCAACAAAGTAGATGGAGTCTGCCTCCGCACCAACCTAGGGTAGGTTTGCCAGCCCTCCGACATGAACACTTCGCATTGTGTGTGTGTGTGTGTGTGTGTTGTGGGCTACATTAAGAAGAAACAACATGCGCAAACCTACCCCAGCAACATCAAGGTCGAACTGCAGGTCAGGATAGACCGGCGTTGTACCTGCATACTTCTTCACAAGGTACTGGCTCATCACGATAAACTCCTTGGTTTCACGCTGGTGACGAGCGCGTCCTTCAATGCTGTCCATACCTTAAGGACGAGATGTACCCTAAAAGGGTTTCAGCCTCGACTACCATCATATGGATTCTTGGTGTGAGGGTACAGGGATCCTACTTTTCAGGGTCAGTTGGTCTCCAAGGCACACACATCATCCAGCAAGGCCTTCTTGTGGTGAGATGCTTCATGAATGAGGGTTTCAAGCTGCACATTGCGGTTCGATTTAAAGTACAAAGGGCACAGGATCATCTCGTAGAGGCCTCGCTTCGGGAACTTCTCCGGAAAAACATATGCGAAGGTGTCCTTGTCGCAATTCCTAGTTCATGGTTGGAGTAGTATTAAAGATTTAGATTTATATTCCCTATTGGGTTTAAGTACCCTTAAAAATGTAAAATGTTACCCAACTATGACAAAGATTCTTCTTCACGGCCTTAAAATTGCTCAAGACGTTTGTGGTCGACCTCATCACTCTTAAGAGCTCCTTCTCTACACTTGGGTCATCTGCAGCTTCCGGCCCAAACCACTTCTTTGCAAGCTCGAACGCCTCCTCGTCACCCCGTTCCAGCTTTCGCGCAGCTGTTTGGACCATCGCTCGAGCCTCTTCAAGCAGATCTTCCAGATCATTCTGCCAGTCGTTTCTTTCTGCTGCATGGTCCTGGACCAAGATGCGCTTTGACCGAACCGGGCGAAGATCTGTGATGAAACAAAGGGCCGCTGTGATCAGCCACATCATGTCGGCAAGATACGAAACACTGTACTTTGGCACCGCTACGACTACGAGCTTCCCACAGTCGACTGGGATGGCTTGCTTGAACCAAGACTGGCCGAAGACACTGCCGTATGAAGGCAGCACATCAGAATGTAGCAAAAGTCCAGTCGCGGGTTTGGGAATTACCCATAGGCTCCATAGTTTTTCCTTTGCGGGGCTCATATTTAGAATCTTATAAGGTTAGCGGAACTACTATGGGGCCTATGGGTAGTGCCATGAGATGCAAAGGCTTCGACCACCGACCCCCCAGTCCCTTTGCCCTAAAGTGCACACAAAGAATCCAAGAAAAAGACGCAAACCAAACCAAACAAACCCTAAACCCTAAACCCTAAAAGCATCCCCAAGTCCCAAACCGTAACCTTAGAAAGGCCATTACCTAAGACAACCAGGAAACCCTGGGTTTGAAAATTTCCTAAATAAACCTAAAATAAACCTAGAATAAACCTGATCCAAGTCAATATTTTATGTGCTGGAACCTAAGTTAATGGCAAAGTAAAGGTAAAAGGAAGGTAAAATAAAGGTAAAATAAAGGTGAAATAAACGTGAAATAAGGTAAATGCTAATAATATTATTTGTATAATAATATTAATCGTAACAATGATAGAACTCATATTATTCATGATATTAATATCAATATTGATAATAATATTAATATTAATATTCATATTATTATTAGTATTATTCTTACTATTAATATTACTATAATATTAAATATGAATATTATATAGAAAAATAGTAACACTAATAAGTTTCATCATATATATATATATTATACTAATAAGCTAGTACTAATAATAATTTTAATAATAAGAATAATAAAATACTATTATTATTGATAATATTCATATTATTTCTAATATTACTAATACGAATAATATTACTAATATTAATATAGCAATTAAAAATAGCAGCCTAATTAAATTCCGAGTATTTAAATAGCAGCCTAATTAAATT